TTTGATAGATAGATAGATAGATAGATAGATAGATAGATAGATAGATAGATAGATAGAGTACATCACCTTGAATTGTACAAAAATAAAGGTGGGATAAAAATCTAATAAACATTGGTTTATTTCATGGATATGCTGCTGTAATTTGGTCAAACTCTCAGCAATGAACAAGCATGCCCAATAATTAAAATTTTCACATTAGTTATCAAAGTAAAACCTCCATGGCAAGGTATTAAAAGTCGGAAAAATCAGCGATCACAGTAAAGCAACTGAATGTGCATAACTAACATCAATCAAATTGATGCTTCAGTCATGTAGGTCTATAAAAACTCACCAAAAGAGTTAGGAAAGCTCTGAAAAATCATTATTTTCCTAATGCTCTCAAGGAGAGGGCAGGGAGGCTATTGTAAAAACAGGCATTGTTCCTGTGAAGTGGGGCCTCTAAGCTTCAGACCCCCTCACTTCCCCAATGTAGGGGACAATGCAGTCCTAGAGGTATCAGTTCGGTTATTTAGGAAAGCTTGCCTACTTTTTCCAAGCAAAACTTCCAAACCAAGTTCAATTTCAACTGTCCCCCTTCTTTATTTTCTAAAAATGCTGTCTATGGAACATTTGTGGGGCCCAGAGGCAGTCTTGGGGCAAAGGAAGATGCTAAAAGCTAGCCCTTTGCAGCCAGTCAGTGTCTCCCAAAATACATCCTTAAATTAAAAGAATGTGAAGGGAAAAAATAATAATAAAGGGGAGGAGATGGTCCTCTGGGCACACCAGTGCCCACGGGTGACATGTGGCCTACCAATTATGCCCCAGGCAAGTGAAATACCTTTCCACTGAAACTCTTCTACTGGCAAAAGCTAAAAACCTGGATCCAGTTTCCCTCTTTCAGCTCAGCCTACTTCACAGATTTGTTGTGGGGAAGGCAGCATTGGAAAGGGGGATGCTAATGTATGCTGCTTGGAGCTCCTGGAGGAAAGACGGGGCCTGAATCCAGCAAGGAGACGAATAAACCAATTTCCTGCAGAATCGCCCAGGATGGAAACGCTCAGCTCCCTTCCATCTTGGCCACTCAGCACAACCGCCAAAGGGAAAACACGTCCTGGCACTGTTATTGGATGCCAAGAGGATTCTGCCGCCTTCCAGCCAAACATGGTTTCTGGGAAGCCACTGGCAATGTTGGCCTCAGGCCTGGATAAGGTATGCGGCCGACAAAAATCTGCCTTTGCAAATATCGCGGCTGTGGAGCGTCTCTGTTCAGGCATCGGGGAGGAGATGGCAAGAAGCCTTGGCAAGGGGCTTAAGCTGAGAAATGCTCTGCCCTGACAAACGGTGACAAACGCTTCTTGGAAATGCAGCCCGTCCGCCCCGCTGGGTTCACACTGAGTTCTTGTGCACGACCTCAGGTTGGCCATGATTCCCTCTCCCGTCAAGGACCCCAGGCCCGACAGCTCAAGGAGAGGCAGAGAAGAGGAAGGCAGGAGTAGCCACAAGCGAATTGCTAGCACTCAGAAGGAGGGCTCAACGTTTTCATGTCAGAGCCAGAAGCTCAAGGAAGTAGCATGCCTGGGACCGCATTCCCCAAAATTTCATTTCATGGAAAATGAACTCAAATTCGGCTCGCCACACAGACACAGCCAGGCTGTTTTTCCTGGCCGTGGCGTGAAAATGGTTTGCCGTTGCCTTCTTCGGAGGATGATGCTTAATGACTGGCATTTCCGTTTCCCATCCAAATAGTAACCAGGCCCAAGTCTGTGCAGCTTCCAAGCCCACACAGGGTCAGCCAAATGCTGCCATTCCATTTTCACAGAATTAAAATGAAACAGAATTAGTATCATTACTCTCTAGTCCAGTGTTTCTCAACCTTGGCAACTTGTGTGAAGACATGTGGACCAACTCCCAGAATTCCCCAGCCAGCAAGCTGGCTGGGGAATTCTGGGAGTTGAAGTCCATACATTTTACAGTTGCCAAGGTTGAGAAACACTGCTTTACTCATGTTCCTCTTCTATCACATGAACAATCAGAATCTGTTAACACCTTTTTCTGAATCTGCTAAGAACTTTAAATAAGCAACTTCTTTAGAGCATGTAAGGGTTGGAAGCAAATTTGGGTTTTCAGAAAGCAAGATACAAATCATATGATCGATGGTGGCGATTGCTCTATCTTTCTAGCTAAGAAAAGGCTGTCTGCTCCCCTCCACCCCCACAAACCTTCTATGCCATTCACTATTATGTAAATAACAATCTTAATAAATGCAGCATTTCTCATTATTTCATTTCCACGCCAAGAAAAGTTTCACCCGCAGAATTTCCATCTGTCTGGGGACCAAGCAATACTTCTACTTGCAGTTATTAGGAATGCAAACAATGTGAAATTTAAGATTTTGGCATGCAGCAACGCTTGGCAACTAGCCATGCTCCTAAACGTTCCCACTAGCTGAGGAAAAGTGAGTAATTTCTGAAATTCTCTCTCTTTGACCTCAATTCCTGTCAGTTTAGAGGGCCCTTTCAAAACTGACTTTTCAAACTGTGCCCTTCACCTCTTCGGATCTATCCTGCTACGGATTCTCCAAAAATTCAGCTCTGCTTCTAGTCCATTTATTGCATTCCAGTTTCAACGTTTGGATCAGAAAAGATCTGGTGGCACCATTTTGGACAGGGTCTATTGACCCTGCCCACCCCATCTCTACATGTTCTCAAACATCACGGCTCTCTGCTCCAGGAAATCTTTGTACTAAAATCAAATGCGATGCTATCTCAATTGTTAGAGCAACTCCTCAACCCACCATGCCCAGCCAGCCAAGCCAAAGGCCTTCCCACCTACCTGGAAAGGCACAGACTGGCAAAGACATGGGTAGAGAAAGGTTTGGTACAATGAGAGAGAGAGAAGACCCATCACTTTGAAGTTTTTCCCTGAGAAACCCCCCAGAATTAAGAGTTGTGCAATGTTTCTACACAGCCGTATGAATTTTATCTCCCACAGCCTTTGGAGCTTCTTGCTGGAGGCCAAACCCCTAAGTAGTTTTCTACAAAACCAAAACCTAAAAAAGTCCTGGGTAGACAAAGGACATTTCAGACACCTGTTTTGGGAATACTGTGTCAGTACCAGCATTGAGTATTATAGACTAACCAGCCTATTATGTTACTTTATGGCAGTGTTTCTCAACCTTGGCAACTTGAAGATGTGTGGACTTCAACTCCCAGAATTCCCCAGCCAGTCATGCTGGCTGGGGAATTCCGGGAATTGAAGTCCACACATCTTCAAATTGCCAAGAAACACTACTTGATGGTTTCATGGGATTTGCAACCCAGAAAATGGGTTAGTTCCATAATTAGGATCAAGCATGTGGTGTAAATGGAATTTATGCTCCAGGAATAGGCAGAGAACTGGAAGGAAGGAGAATGGACATTAAATCTGCGAGCTACTCATGTTTTTGCAACCAGGAACCCCTTCAGAGGGGTTGAGAAGGCCTGCGTTATTGCTAAAGCAAACAACTTCTAACAACATTGCCATCACCCATATTGATAAAGAAATATTACAACAACATAATACCATGAACATGTAACAGAGATATGAATAACATGCTAGCATTTGCAGGGTAGTTCCCAGATCTAATCTCAACACTTCTTGCGATAGCTCTGTAAGATAAGGCCAATGGCCACGCTTCCATATCTCTGACTGGTTGGTTCATATTATAGAATCACAGAATTGGAAGGGATCCAATTCTGAGGTCCTGTAGTCCAACCTCCTGCTCAGAACAGGACAGGAGAGTAGAACATCTCTGACAGATGACCATATAGTCTCTATCTGAAGACTTCCAGTAAAGGAGAACTTTCCACCTGGTGTGGCAGACTGTTCCAAGGGTTGACATCTCACACAGTGACGATGTTCCTCCTGCTATCTAGCCTGAATTTCCTTCCCTGTAATTTTAACTCATGAGTTCTGGTCCTGTGATGGAATGGAATTATGAAGGATTGATGTCAGGCCTAGCCCAAGGTACTCCAAGAGACAATGCCAATCCAGTCCAGCTATGTTTATTAGCTACAACCTCTAGAAAGAATCTCCCCAGACTACAACCCCAGTCCCCAAAGTCCCCCAGCCACAACAGTGTGAATTCCTCAGGGAG